ATGGCGGGAAAAGTGGCCACGTGCCTTGTAATTGTAAAATTCGTACGAAAAAAAAAAAAAAAAGAAGAAGAAAAAAGCCGTGTCTACAGAAAGACGCACACACATCAAATACGTGTGTCTTCTCCTTGGCGAGTTAATTACCGAATTCGCTTATAATTATTCGTTCTATTACGTTTGTTAAGAAACAAAGAAGAAGTCATTAAAGTCTTCTCGGCAGGATTTTCAGGACAACGTTTTGAATTCTTGCCAGGGGATTTTAGTCAACTTTCATCAACGTTTGTGCATCGTAATGGAAGACATGTGTGTCTGTTTGAATTTTTTTTTGAAAAATAAAAATAAAAAATAATTTAAATTATTATTTAATTAATTATTATTATTATTATTATTATTATTATTATTATTATTGAACAGAATGATTGACGTATCGCTTCGAATATTTGTCAACATGTTAAGTAAGAGAAGAGCACGATTTAAGAAAAAGATAAAGAAAAGAAAAAAAAAATCCGGTGTTTGACAATGTTAAACTATGTTTCGACAGAATGTTTGTCTTCTTCAGCTTATATTTAAACATTTTTTTCAAGTATAACAATATATAATTCTCATAAAATTATAAGACTTTTAAAAAAAAAAGCCTTCATTCCCAGTACAATCGCTTTTTTTTATTACAAGGCAAGCAACGTTATAATTTTTTGTAGATTTATATATTTTGATACCTGTATTATTATTATTATTATTATTATTATTATTATTATTATCAATTGTTTTTTTGCCATACGTCCAACTATATCTTTTACGTCAGTCTGTTCATATTATTTATTATCTATCTAAATCTAATTATCTATCTATCTATCTATCTATCATTCCATTCATTATCTATATTTATATATCTTTGTTCATATCTATTAATCTATCTATCTATCGATCTCAGTCTGTTCATATCTATCTATCTATCTATCTAAATCTATCTATCTATCTATCTATTCATCTATCTATATCTATCTTATCTCATATCTATCTATCTATCTATCTATCTATCTATCTATCTAATTATTATCTATCTATGTATATGTATGTGTGTGTGTGTATGTTCATCTCTCTCTATCTGTTTATCACTCTCTATTTATCTATCTGTTCACATCTCTCTCTATTTATCTGTTTATCTCTCTCTCTCCTTCTATCTGTTCATCTCTCTATCTGTTCATCTCTCTTTTTTATCTGTTTGTTGACATCTCTCTCTATATATTTCTATCTCTGTCTGTTCTTCTCTCTCTATATTTATAGCTATGTTGAAAAATCCTTTCTCTATCAACCTGTTCATCTCTCTCTCTCTATCTATCTAGAATATCAGTTCATTCTTTCTAATCAAAAGGGATCTTTATATGATGCAATCCCTTGAATGATGAAAGAAAATGTATTAATTTTTTTTTTTATTATGGTGTTTTATTTTTACCACAGACAATTTGAAAATTTGTGTCATTTGTGTGTGTGTGTGTGTGTGTGTGTGTGTGTGTGTGTGTGTGTGTGTGTGTGTTTTCTGACAAATTTAATAAAAATCTATGGCGAAGTGTTGAGCGAGATACATCGACAAGAAAAGATTATGCTGGAAAATATGTCTGTTGTGTGACATGCCTTTTTTATCATTTGACTGCTGGATTATTGTATGTATGTATGTATACTCCACCATTTATGTATGTAAATAAAAATTTCGGTTCAAGGGTCAAAGTGGGCCCCAATGCCTGAATTTATGATTTGGGGCCCACTGTATCTATGATAAACGCATAAATTTTTGACTCTATATTACATCTCAGTTTTCATAAGGATTTATATTCATATAAAATGCATATAAAAATTTAATATATTTATGTAAAATAACAGACCATCTTCTATATAGATGAACAATTCAACTAGAAAAATTGAAAATAAATACAATGTATCTAAATACAAATTAGAGACATGTCATAATAGATCATTCCATCTTAAATAAATCAAGAATGCTTTGCGGAAATTTTTAAAATTAACTTGAGATTTCTCTTGTTAAAAAGTTGAAGAATTTTAATACAGTATGTTGATATTATGGATGAAAAATAGTGAATTTTATATACTGTTTTTTCGACTCTTAGCAAGATCAAAACAAATTTACAGATTTGGACGAAAAAAAAAAAAAAAAAATGAGACCGCAGAATATAAGTGGACAATTCAAGTAGAAAAATTGAAAATAAATACAATATATCTAAAAATAGAAATTAAAGACATGTCATAATAGATCTTTCCATCTTAAAAAATGTTTTGCGACAATTTTTAACATCCGCTTGAGATTTTTCTTGTTAAAAAGTTGAAGAATTTTAACAGATCCAAAATTATAGATAAAAACAGTATATTTTATACAGTGTTTTTTTAACAGTATTTTTTATATAGTGATTTTTTTTTTTTTGAGACTTAGCATGAGCAAAAGAAATTCACGGAATAGATTAAAATTTTTATATCACATTCAACATCATGAATAAAAGAATAGTGAATTTTATACTCCGTTTTTTCGAGGCTCAGCACAAACAAAAACAAATTAAACGGAAAAAAATGGACCCCCCTAGAATGACGTCAAAATCCGATAATTTTTCAAATTTAATAGTCATTAACATAAAATATTAATGGATAGCGGCTTAGATTGAGGAATCGGAGAGCCGAGTTCGAATTCCAGACAATCCATAAAATTCAATCAAAGAATTTACGTTCTAATATAAAGGGAAGGAAGTTTGAATCCTCTAATAACCTTAAAGGGAAGGTTTTTATAAAATGGGTAAATACCAGGACAAACCGGGTTTTATAGCCTTGATGACAACTGGTATACCACAAAAAGAAATGGTAATCTACTGCGGTTAAAAATCTTTTCGTCGTTTGATGTATCGAAAGATACATGATTTTGCTTAAGCATTTATCAAGAACCATGGCACATAACTAACTGATATAGATGTAGTTACAAAAAAGCAAATGTTGATAAGATAGCAACGGTATATCAGGAACCGATCGGGAGTTCAGAGGTAGTACGCACCGGCCCGGTGTGAATACATATGTGAGCTCGTGGCCGGGTATTTAGATCCTGTGTTCAAATCTCACCATGTCAGGAAGGTGAAATCTAGATCGATCTGAGGGAGACGATCCCCGTGTGTGGTACCTTTGGAAAGTGCCTGAAAAATATACCACAGGTTGCCCCAAGCCATGTGAAGGAAACTATACGAAAACCGTCGATGGTTCAAGTCATCGAGACTGAGGGTATGAGCTTTGTTCAAACTAATGATCACGCCAGATGATGCACCTTTTCTCTCCCCGAAACTGCAACTACAGTCCGCCCAGTATATATTAATTATGAAATATATTTATATATTTGTTGAATAAACTTCAAATTTTCATTGAGAACATGCGTTTTGCAAATGGGATTGGCTAGTAGACGGGTGTGCTATGATAATGTCCTATTTAGGTGGTCATTATGTATTTTTGAACACACACACACACAAACATTTTTAGTAATATCCATAAAACACGCATATTCTTATAGATATTTTTTATTATTAGATAAATTTATAGACAATTCCGGTTCAAGGCTTCTCCTGGTGTTTTTGAACAGGAGTTGAGGTTTATCTCCTGTTTCCTGCTTAGGACTGGGTTCCCGCTTCCTTCCAAAGTCTGTTTCAGTTCTGTAAACCTGAGGTCTGCGCCTGAACTCTGAAATTTTATTCACTATTTGTTTCATTGTATTTTGCATCTCCTCCTCCAATAGGAATAGATAGGTTCGCCTATCGTCCGGTTCACACTCCTCCCCTGTCTTTTGAACAGGATTAGAGGTTTATCCCTTGTTTCAATTTGTTTTTGGGTTTCCTGTTCTTCCAAAGTCTGTTTCAGTTCTGTAAATCTAAGATCTGCGCCTGAAATTTTATTCACTCTTTGTTTCATTTTATCTTTTATCTCCTGCGCCAGTAGCAGCAGATAGTATTTTGCCTATTTATAAAGTTTTTTTCTCCATGGTCTTTTGAACAGGAGTAGAGGTTTATTTTCATTTCCTGTTTAGGATTGGGTTTCGGTTCTCTCTATTTTTTACATTTATATTTTCACTTCTATTAGACCCTTTTTACTTTGGTTGTTATTAAATCAATTTTCAATTTTAGACTTTGCCTCTTACTCATGTAAGATTATTTTTTAAAAAAAATTTGAATATTTACAGAGTGAACATCATATAAAAATAAAAAAATTTCATAAACAAAATTTATTCACATTTTTAATTAGTGTTGTAACCTACGGAAGGTTACTGAATAGAATAAACAAACGAAGGTTGGTAATGAACAATAATACTTAGGACAAGAACAAAACATATAAGATTCGCCAGCGGCGCGTAGAAGAAGTAGTCAACTGCTAGAAGTGAGTCAAATGAACTCCACAATGAATCTCCAACTGCAGGATATCTACCAACCGCCCCACGCGGTCAGATGTGGCACAAGGCCGAATTTAATGTGGGGTATCCGAGCCCGTAGGCTCGGCCAAAAATTCCCCGTAGACCCGTATAAAACGGGGTCGGGTAGCTGTTTCCCGAGACGAGACTCTACCCTTCGACATAGCCTCGTCTGGGGATCCTCTCTGTCCGGAGGCAGAGAGTTTGACCAGCACAGCTGGAGACGAATCTCCAACTGTAGACCAACATACAGTATTCACTACTGTATTTATGTGAATGGGGACATACCCAGTATCGTCCGTATTTATGCTACAACAATTAAAACAGCAAAGAAATCAATACTGAATTTAGACTTGACTAGCCCGTTTCTTTGTTAAAGTTTTGACTTAAAAAAAAAAAAATTACGCCAGAATTTTTAAAATTTCTGAAAAATTACTGTTTTATTTATTTAATTTTTATCTTTTATTTTTTTAATGTGATTTATTGTGAAGCCACTGGTTGAAAGAAATTTTAGTGCAAATGTATTTTAAATGGAATTAAAAAAATAAATTTGGAAGTCATATACAGGAATATTCAATAGTAGGTGTGCAGCAATGAAAAACAAAACGCACAAAACGTCTTGTATTGATTAAACAAACATCAATAATAATATTTTCCATATTACTTGCATTATTTACATTATTCGGACTGTTATCCTCATATTCATTGCCATATTCACAACGTTTCGGCCGTTGTAAATCAAATGTCTTCTTAAGGTCAAATTTGAAATTTCGAACCGAACCCATTTCTTTCCATTTCGTCCATGAATTAAAGATTGAAAAGTTGAACTAAAAAAATCAAAACGGACGTCATTAAATTATTTCTAATTATCTCAGCTCTTCAAGATTTGGTTCACCACTGAATGTGTCTGAATATTGAACTCGCAACTCTTTGGGTCTTTTCATACTGGATCTAACCAATTTAATTTATCCACTTTATTTGCGGTTAAATAGAAATAAATGAGACAACCCTGAAAGAGGCATAAATATCGTGAACATAGAAAGAAAGGGTTCGGTTCGAAATTCCAAATTGAAGGTTTTGATTGTTTTTTAAGAAATGGATTGAATATATTTTGGAACCAATAACGTATGAATAATTTAAATAATGAGATAATAACGATAAATCATCTCAGAGATATAGACAGATATTTTCCAGTTTTTATAAAAAGAAAAATTGCGATTACTAAATGTTTTTTCATAAGTCATCGTTAAATAACCACTTTTTTTAAAAAAAAAACATTTATTATTAATTTATTATTTTTAAAAATAAAATTTTAATAATCAATTATATAATAATAAAAATTATAAAAAAAAAAATTTAAAAAAATGGTTTTAACGAATTAAATGAGCTCCAGAACCATTATTATAATACTGGTTATATTGCTATAATACTTATTGTATACCTACTTTTGCAGCCCCCTCACGCAAATACAAGTTTTTATAACACTTTCAGACAAATCAGCAAAATAAAAACTGTATGGGTTTAATACAATTATTTTTTAAACGTCTACATACTGTCCGATATATTCATAATTGTTATTTTTTGTTTAAGCCAAAGTTTTTTGCCTAAATTTGTGTTTTATTTTCAAGAAAGGTCATCGTTGAAAGGTTATGACACTGCACTAAAAAAAAATCATAATGTTTTTGATCCCAATGATTTAAATATTGTTAAATATTTTTGATATAATGCGACTACTACTAAGTTTTGGGATTTACACTACAAAATAAGCTGCTCGCCAATCGGACCTCCTGGATGTTTCATTGGCGGCTGATGTTTGTTGATATTCTTAGTCTCGTCTCGGTACAATGTGGAGGGAAGGTGCGTATTAAAGAAATAGACGCACGGACAGACAGGTAGTATGAAAAAACAAATTAAGACTCTTTTGATTACATGCAACCAAATTTTCCGCCTTAAATAGATGTTGCCCTGATTGAATTAGGAAAATCGTTCGAGTCTCCCCCTCACCATAAACATTTACATTTAGCATTTTTATACTTAAAATCGCTGTTATTTTTTTTCTGTTAATGTTTTCTTTCTTTTAGGTTTTCTTTTTTTTTTAACAATTTTTTTTTCCTTTCTTTCTTTCTTTATTTTCTTTTTTTTTTTCTTTTTTTTTTCTTTTCATTTATTTCTTAAATATAATTTATTTATATATATTTTTTTTCTTTATTTCTTTTTCCTTGAATTTCTTTTTTTCTTTCTTCCGTTTTTTCTTAAAGAATTTTCATCCTTTTTTTCTTATTTTTATTTAAAAGTTATTTTTTCTTTTCTTATTTGATATTCTTCCATTTCATTTCTTTACATAATTATTTTTCAACAAATTTTATTTAAAACATTAACTTTTCTTTAAATTTTTTCTTTATTTTTTTTTTCTTTCTTTTTTTCTTTATTTAATTTTTGAAATTTCTTGAATTTTCATTTTTTTTTCTTTTTTCATTTTTTCTTTATTGTCATTTTTTTTTTTTCTTTTCATTTTTTATTTTATTTTTACAATTTCAACAATTTTATTTCACAAAGTTTTTTGAATAGATTTTTTTAAATTTCTTTCTTTCTTTGGCAACAATTTTTTTCGTCAAAATTTAATTTCTTTATTCATTTTTTTCGATAAATTTTCTTTATAAGGAGGAATTTTCTTATTTTTTTATTTTATTAAAAATTTTTTTTTTTCTGAAATTTTCGTCAGAGTTTTCTTTCTTTGATTCCTTAATTATTTAAATCACAATGGTTTTTTATGCTTTTTTGTCTTTATAAAATTTATTTATAAAAAATTTCTTTCTTTCTTTAAAATTTTCTTTTCATTAATTATTTTTAACAATTTAACTTTCACCCTTTTTCAATTTTTAAACCTTTGTAAAAATTGAATTTTTTTTCTTTTTTTTCTTTTTTTTTGCCAGTCTTTATTTTTACAATGAGTGGTTAAATCTCTATAATAGAACATTTGTTTTACAAACTTTCTTTATTTTTTCTTTCTTTTTTATTTCTTTTATTGAAATTTCTTCCGTGTTTTTTTTTCTTTCTTTTTGTTTTCAAACTGATCATTTCTTTTTTATTTTTCATTCTTATTTACATTTTTGATTTCTTTATTTTTTTTTTAATTATTTTTTTTATTTTTTCTTGTCAACATTTTTTTTTTTTTTCTTATTAAAAATCATCAAAGAAATTTTTTTTTTTTTTTTCTTTCTTTATTTCTTTCTTTTTTTTTTTTAAAAATCTTTTCTTTTTCATTCACCTCTTTTTTCGATCATTTCTTTTAGATTTCAATTACTTTTTTTTTTTCTTTCATTTTTCTTTTCTTTTTTTGAGATAAACAATGGTTTTCAATCCTGGACTTTTGTAGTTCTTTCTTTTTTTTCTTTTTTTCTTTCTTAAAAATAAAAATTTCATTTCTTTTTCAATTTTATTTCTTTCTTTCTGTTCATTTTTTTTTCGTCATTTTCTTTCTTTCTTTTTATTTTCTTAATTTTCTTTCTTTAAAATTTAATTTTTTTTTTATTTCTTGCCAGTAATTATTTTTTACAATTGTTTTCTCCAACTTCAAAAATTTAATTTTCTTTCTTTCTTTCTTTCTTTCTTTTTTTCTTTTTTTTTTTTTTTCTTTCTTTTCTTTTTTTCGTTTTTTTTTTTATTTTTTCGACATTAATTTTTTTTTCTTTGTTTGTTTTCTTCCAAACCATTTTGTCTACTCATTGTCTGCTTTTTTTGTTTTTTCAATTTTTTTTTTTGTTTTATTTTTTATACTGCCATTTATTGAAATGTCCATCTTTGTTTTTTTTCTTTTTTTAAAGGATCTGAATTTATTTTTTTTTTTCTTTTTTTTTCTTTTTTTCTTAGTTTTTTATCTTTTTTCATTTTTCAAAATTTTTTTTTTTCTTTTTCTTGCACTTTCTTTTCTTTTTTATTCACTTTTTTTCTTTCTTTCTTTGTCTATAATCTTTCCTTCTTAGTCTATACTCCTTTCTTTTTCCAAACATTTCTATCTTTTTTATCACTTTCTTTTTACATTTATCTTTCTTTCTCTACATTATATACTTTCTTTTCTTATTTCTTTTTTTTTCTTTCTTTCTTTCTTTTCTTTTTTAGTTTCTTTCTTATTTCTTTTTTATTTTTCCTCTTTCCTCCCAATGACAAGCATAATCCATTATAATTTCTTTCCGTTTACAGCCATCAGCAGCACCCTTAGCAAGGGTACCGCCGCCATTGAAACCCTTTCTACCCGAGTGCAGACGCATGGCACAGACAAGTTCAACACGTTTAAAACTGTGCTAAATGAACTGCTATACAGTTTATTTCTTGTCTCGTCTGCCCATTGAAGGGTTTAGAAGAAAGATTTTCTTTTTTAAAGAATTCCCCAGCAAGTTCATTCTTTCATTTATATACAAGAAATTATTTACCAATTTTTTTTTATTTAATGCGAGGTTATCAATAGATATCGTCTGTCTGGTAACTGAGATTTAGGAATATAGATCTCTAATTCTCTGTGGCGATATTAAAAAATTTAAACGAAAAAAAAGATATTATTTTTAAATATTTATTGTGTAAATGGTGGAAAATGTTAATGATAATAATATGAATAAGCAACGACATATGAGTAAACAAACGGTTGTAATGGCAAAAGAAATCTTGTCTCGCAAGATCAATTACGACTGATTATTGAGTTCGATCAAATGAGTGCCCCATAATTTCGGCCTTGTGCCACATATAAACATATCTTAGAAAAAGAAGTCCTGGGCACTTCTATGAAATGAAAGGGTTGCAATTTTGTCTCGCATGATCAAAACGACTGAGTAAGTTCGATCCATTTGATGGGTGAAAATTTTGAATAAACATCTAAACATTTTAGAAAATTTAGACTAATAGGGCACTTCTATCAAAAAAAAATCAATTAAAAATCAAAATTAATATAGATTTGGATTACGACTGAGTATTGAGTTCGATCCTTTTTTGAGTCAATATTTTCGGCCTTGTGCAACATCTAAACATAAATGTATGAAAAAGGAACTGGGCATAAAAATGAAAGAGGTTAGCAATCTTGTCTCACTAGATCAATTCAAACGACTGAATGCAGATGTTCGATCCTCAGTGGAGTCCCTATAATTCCGGCCTTGTGCCACATCTACCCTAGACTTATAAATTCACCATTTTCCTACAACAAAATTTCAGTCATTTATTTTTAATGCAGCGATTTTTTTTTTATTATTTTGTTTAATTTTTTTTTTCAATGTAGCATTTTTTTTTAATGTAGCATTTTTTTTTTAATGTAGCATTTTTTAATGTAGCATTTTTTAATGTAGCATTTTTCTTTATGAATCACGATTTCTCTTTCCCCGGAATCTTAGAAAAAATATCTTTGTTCTGTTCTCTCTATTTTTATATACGCATACAGTGTGGACACAGTAATCAACACTGCATAGTGATTGTTAATTTCACGCTTCAAACGAACTTCAGACCAAATCAAAGAACATTATATATATATATATATATATATATATTATATATATAAATATATATATAAGCTTCAAGAAAGTAAATAAGCCACTAGGATGCAGGTGGTTGCAGAAGATTTGGAGCGAGAAGGTCAATAAGGACTATAAGAAAGGATGAGGAGAAGGAATTTGGATAGATGAAGGTAATCAGGAGATATCGATTTACATTACATTTGAATAGTTGGAATTATAAAAAATGGAAACTGGAATAGGGAATGGATTTTACAGGCGATTTTATTGCGAGACATGAAGCTATTGGGATAGATTTAGGTTTACGTTTTTTTTCTACAGTGAAAGGGTTGTGCAGGATGCCAGCCTCGTTAAGGCGCTCATATATATATATATATATATATATATATATATATATATATATATATATATTTTTACGCATTGAACAAAAGTCAATTTTTCAAAAGTGACAGGCTGTTCATCTATATTGTCTGTCATGCCTGACGATTGCATCTTATGAAATGAAACAATAGTTCTTTCTGACTCTTGATTCAATGTTCACTTTTATATTTACATTTTGACCTCTGACTTTGGGGTAAATATTTATACCATACAAAAACTATCTTCATATATATTAGGATATTTTTTATGTTTATACGTCCTTTTTTTATAGATACAATTATTTAAGTAAATGCTATGTTTATAATAAACATTTATTAACGACATTTAGCGGCCTGAATGTCCGAGAAATTTTCATAGAAAATATGCGCCCCTCCGACAGGAATCGAACCTGTATTTTATAAACGGAACAGTTATATAGCCTGGCATATTTACATGATTTAGCCACAGAAGCGTTTCGGTTACAAGGTCGATTTTACTGTTTTTAAACTAAAATTCTCCATGGATTCTCTCGTACATTCATATCTGCTCGATGCGTATCCAAATGTACACAAATGACGTCACACATTATAAAGTGGATAAAAGTGGCTAATTTTTTAAATGCATTTTTATGTTTATATTTATTTAAATATTTGTATCTATAAAAAAGAATGTATAAACATCTAAAATGTTTAAAATAATTTGGAGCTTGATTTATAAATCTCAAAATTTAAAAAATATTACCTATGGGAAAAATTGTTTGATATTTTATTATATTATTTACACACAGAATAATGTTCATATAAATAATAAAATTATTTACATATATATAGATAAATATATATATATATATATTTATAAAAATAAAAAAAAAGAGATTTTAATTTTTTTTTTTTTTCGTTTGTATAATTTTACGAGTACGGAAATTTTCAATAATTTTATTTTTGAAGTATATATATATATATATATATATATATATATATATATATATATATATATAATATTGAAATATATATATATATATATATATATATATATATATATTTAACCTTTTTATATATATCATTTAGCAAATATATATATATATATATATATATATATATAATGGAAAATAAATAAACATATATATATATATAAATTTTTTATATATATATATTATTTATATAGGGAAAAAAATTAAATGCAAAAACTGACATTTTTACCGGTTTAATTTAAAAATCATTTTTATAATTTAAACGGTTAAATTTAACAGAAATTTGTGGCTTAGATATCAGTAATATCGTAATTTTTGGTAAATGATGAACATTTTTTTATTGTGGAAAATATTTAAAAATATTCAATAAAATGTTATATTATGTTTGAATTTTTTCTGTCTGTTCTTTTGATTTTCAATCTCCATATATATAAATATATATATATATATATATATATAGAATATATGAGAGAGAGAGAGAATATGAATTCGTTGAAAATCAGACCCTCCCTAAAACTTTTTTTTTTTCGAACGTAACTCATAATTGATACAACAATAGTAATAAAAATGAACACTTCTAAATGTGTAAAAATGATTGAATTTTCTGTATCCTTGGAAACAGTAAATTATGAATTTATATGTGCGTTTAAAACTCAGTAAATTTAAAAATAAGTTATTTCACTATTAGCTTGAAGAAAAAATGGAACTAATGCTTTTAATTTAATTATATAATTAAATTTAAAGAAGAAAAAGCTTCCAATTTTGAAACAGAGAATTAGAAAAAGCAGTGAAAAATATTTTAAATCAATTAATTTTTAATATTTATGGTTTGTAAATTTATAACAAAGCACTGTTTTCTAAAAATAAAAATAAAATATCAATAAGAAAAAAATATGGATTATATATTTTTTTCTTTATATCTTATATATATATATATATATATTTTCATTTGTTTAGATTGGTACAAGAATGTGCCATTAAGACGCGAGGGGTTTTTGAGTTTGAGAGAATATTGAAATGAAATACCATGAAGGACAGTGAAAATAAGGAAAGTTTCAAACGCGTTTCATTCCTTGAAGACTTTTTTTTTTTATAGCATTTCACCCCGAGCAAGGCGGGAGTGCCACTAGTACGCAAGGGGTTACAGAGAATGTGTTATAGAGTAGTTTCACAGTGGAGGCTTGTATTTCACTAAGTCGGTCCTAAAAAGGTTCGACGTACAAAACGTTAGGAACTTGTTATAATAGTTAGTGACGCAGCAATCTAGTTGTGGTGGTCGATACTTTAATGTCCGACATCGACTGACTCACCAACTCACTGAGCCCACTGGTGACTGCTACTACTACTACTTATTATATGTGGGAGAGTCTATTAACAATAGAATAGGTATGTTCCAGCATAACAGAATGAAAGTAAGAGAAAAGACTGGTTTTAGTGGGGATTGAGAAAAGGATAAAAAGAAGAACAAGGATCAAGGCATCAGAAGATGTCAATTGGCATTACATTAAAATGAAGATTTTCGAAGATTATAGTTATCAGAGAAGCAAGTAAGAGGAAGAGAGTTCCACTGTCGGGCAGTGCGAGCGAAGAAGCTGTTGGAGTAGAAGAGGCGTTTACATTTAACTGTTTGAACAGTAAATTTGGTAATTTTTTTTATTTTATTTAAGTTACTTTTTCTGAGACACGTAATGAGAAAGGAAAGCTTAGAAAATCTGATACTCACAGGGCGGATAAAGTGAAAGAAGGACAAGGGAAAACGACGGGTGATATATTTAACGAGTTTAAGCAATTCGATGGCAGAACAGGGCCTGGGAGGAATAACAAATATTCAAAGCTTATTGGGAGCTACAAGGGACTAAGAAATGGAGATCCATGATCGCCTACGTCCTGAAGGGACACGACACATAAAAGAAAGAAAAAATAAAATTTCTACACTTGCCTTGAAAAAGTTCCTCACGATATTATCAGAAAATTTATAGTAAGTTTAAAAATTATTGGTAATTTTCTAATATTTTCGCACGATCTGTCAACAGTAAGTAAGACTATTTTAATTTAATTGCTAAAATTTCATACAATTTTAGAATACTTGAAATATTGAAATTTTTTTATATTAGTGGTTGGTTAAAAAATGATTTTAAAAAGACGTTTATGTTGTGTTCGTTATGTAATTTGACTAAAATTATTTCACCTTTATATAAATCTCTCAAACATCAGGTTATCGATAGATGTGTCAGTACCTGATAAAAACACCCACCTCTGCGTAAAAACAAAACAAAACACACAGACACAAACACGTATATACACATACATTTTCGTACATAATTACTGTTGTAGCATACCTACGGATGATAATAGGTATGT